TGTATGTATGTATGTATGTATGTATGTATGTATGTATGTATGTATGTATGTATGTATGTACATGTGGGTTTTCGTCGACACTGCGAAATTTTTCTATGATGAGTTTCAAAATTCAGGACTAAAATCCCCCTCACTGTTTCATTCTTTTCGGTAGTGAAAAATCTCAAGCGAAGAGCTATTATCAAAAACTTCCAACACATGTCTTGCCAGGTACTTTGGGACAAGGGGAATACGGACAGAATGGAAAAGATTCAGAACAGTGCTGCTAAGAAACGGCGGAAACATATACATTTATCATTAAGCAGATTGCAGCCTCCAGGTTAACCCTGCAAGTGCAGATGGCAGAGTGTGAAGATGTAGGAGAAAGTAATAGTGTAGATTGAAGGAGGTGAGAGCGAAATAAGACGCTTCGGCCCATTAAGTCATATACGTCTTAACTCAACACTGCAGCTGGACCTCGTCAGTATGACGGTCGCAATGCGCAATGAGAAGAAAGAGGAAGAAGGAGGAAGGAAAGAAGGAAAGAAAGAGGAAGTATGAGAAGATAGAAGCCGAAAGAGAGGACAAATGAACGGGGAAAGAGAGGTGGGGGGTTAAAAAATCCGTCATATTTGCACAAGAGTTCACCCATTTTTCATATTCAAAGTTCCGACCTGCCTATATTTCAAGACCCATATTGGCCTATGCTTCGTCATTTACGGTTCGAATTATTCCCTCGCGTTGTGCATATAAACCAATTTCCTTTACCACTACACTTGTTCGGCCTTTCACTGGCAGTTATCTAATTATTCCGAGGGGATTTTTTGAAAGAGTTTATAAAATTTTTCGAATTGGATCAAAAAATTAATGAATGATAAAATCTTTTTTTGTTGAGAGGTGTGGCATACCTTATTTTTTAGCCCAAGACATCTGGTAGCCTGACTTTTTTACACTCTCAGTTTTTAGATACGTGAAATTGCACAGAACTTAAAAGAGCTGCCGTTGAACGATCCGTTCCGGTTGAAATCAGCTCGAGAATTGCTCGAGAAATTGTATGCAATGGGGCTGATACCGTCCGCTGATTCTCTGGAGCGTGCCAGCAAAATCACAGCTTCCTCGTTTTGCCGTCGCCGATTGCCGGTCTGTTTTTAGATTTTTTGATGTATTAGGATTATCGGATTTAAGTTTTGTTAATGCTGAGGTTCACTTTTTTTGCCGAACGCAGCTTTGCGGGGTTTTTTGCCCCAAATTCCACGTTCTGACCGTTGTCGGTTGCTTGTTGCATCTCTTCCGAGTTGATCCAAGCAGTCATTTTCCTTTTCATGCGAATCACTCATAATACAGTACTTGTTTAAAGGTGTAAGTTGTGTTCCTTGAAAGGAGTTCTCGTAAAATGTCCAGTAGTAACAAGCAGGGGAGGGAAGGGGGAGGTGTGGGACTGAGGGCTGCCTCCGTCTTTCTCTCGTGAGATAGTAAAAATGTTTGCTTGGATATAAAACTTGCACTGAAGGATGGAGAGTTCATGTAACTGAGTCTTGGGGCTAGCCAGAAAGTTGAAAGAGGGGGAAGTGGCGTAAAAAATCCAACCAAACTGTTGCATTTTTTTTTAATAAGACGTCCAAAAGTACAAAAAAACAAAGTCAAAACTCCTCTGTATTCGATGTTTATGAAAATATAAACTTGGATATACTTTGTGGGTAACTAAGTGCTGATAGTAATTGCCGACTGACTGGATTGTCAATGGCTCCATCATTCGAGAAAAGTGCGGAAAACGAACCTCTGGAATCATGATTTGGTGCAAATGCAGCAAATTATAACGAAAACTAGGAATTTCGAATTTCTTTTTTAAATTTTCAGATTTTACGGGTTTTTTTGGTCTTAAAAAACGTGGTTACGGGAAAATCCATTTTTCTCAAAAAATAGTTTGTTCGAAATATTAAATTTCAAAACAAGTTTTTTTTTAATTTTAGGTTGTTATGAAACGGTTGGAAATGGCTGACACTGTACGAAATGCGAGTGACTTAGTAGAGCAAGGGCATGTTCGGGTTGGAACAGAACTCGTCACCGATCCAGCTTTTTTGGTGACACGCAACCTGCAGGACTGTGTAACATGGACGAAGAGTTCCAAAATTCGTACACATATCCTCAATTACAATAATGAACGTGATGATTTTTTATCGTAGGAATGGTGTTTTAGTTACGCAAACTGTTGTACCTCCAGTTTTTTTTCGGGTTTTTTTTTCGACTTTTCAGTTACGAATTTTGAAATTGCCTTACAAATCACACACCTGAATTTTCAGTTACTAGTAATTTTTAGAGCTAACACTTGTTTTATTGTTACTGTATTCTAGAAACTACGAGCACTCTTAGCAGAAGACATTTATTTGTTTTTTTTTTG